TTTGTTTAAAACTTTAATGATCTTTCAAAACATAGTCCAAATCAATCTAGGTCATTAATGTGTTTTTTAATGATGGCTACCAGAAATTTAAATGTCATTCACTGTCACGTTGATTAAGTTATGAAATATTCTCAACCTCAAGATTACCGATATAAATAAGATATAAAATACAAAATGGTTTTTTTAACGGTATAGTTATTTGATATTTGATATTTTAATTACAGCTGTCAAAGCACCTACGGAAGTTGGAGGTAATCACTAACATATATTAATTTTTAAATGGTTTAGCCCAGCTAGTTTTGTTATCAAGGCATAATACGAATTGTATCATTGAGCATACTGCTTACGAGGTTTAAAAGGTTAGGTTAGGTTTTTTTGGTTATTTAAGTTGAAAAAAATCTAATACAGTGGAGTCGGGCTATAGTCGGTTCCATGGAAATCATTAGAAATATATATTTAATGCAATGTTATCACGAGCAATTAATTTACTATTATATATATTTTAATTATTTGTTATTAAGTCTTGTATGGTCCAAACTTTAAGTTGTCAGATTATGAAGCTATAAGAAAAAGATTGGTAACAAGAGGTCGTCTAAGAGCCTTAATCATAAAGAAAACGGGTAAATATACACATTGAATTAATTATCTGGTTTTATTAACTTAAAACAGGTTTTTTAGAACTCTATTTAAATAATAATCATAATACAAAAAAAAACAATAGGTTGTTAACTTACAGACAATTATTCTTATCACAGTTACATAGTAATTTAGATATAAAAAAAAAATAAAGGCTATAGAAACACAACACTGATATTTGACTATACTCTATTGCTATGATTTATTAGTAAAATAATGATAACTGATATGACTAAGTTTTTCTTCAGTTTAATTTACCATTGTACTATTGTACCAATTGGATTAATGACAATTTTTTTTCAAACTATTTTTTAACAATTACCAAAGAGTTTTACGCAAAGTAGTAATTCGTACATATATAATGGCTTGTTATCATGAAAAAATACTTATCTTATAAATAAGACAATCCGCAACAGAGTGTTATTGACGACGGTAAGACTTTGATTTCCAACGACAATGTTGAGTTGCTTATAAATAAATTAATTAACCAACTATTTTTTTTTCTAAATTAAGTTTTTTTTGGAATTTTGATAAATATTATGTTAGGCTAGGGTGTGCATCCGTGTTCTCTTTATTTAAAACGATTTATTGACTGAGAGTAACATGTATGTGCAATACGGACACTCTGTGTATTGTATTATTTTCCAATGATTTGTTATATACCTATATTGTAAATAAAGAAAAGTAGTAGCAAATAATCTAAATCTGGTATTTTTTTTTTAGCTCTAAGTAATTCCACAGTAGCGGTAAAAAGGCATTTCAAGGATCTTCCATATACGTGTCGCCTAATAGCAATGTACAAAACTCTTAAAAATCCAAATAATATTATAGTAGAAGATAATATTATTAAGGTCGACACCGCTCATATTTGTCAACAAAAAGATTCAGAAGGGAATATTATCAGATACAGAAGTGTAACAGGCATTATTTGGAGAGATAACCTTGATGGGACTAAAATAGATGTGACACTAGATTCTGAATTAGATTAATTTGGAACAGCAGCTATAAGAATATATTTTTTTACAACACTATTGGTATTACATTTAAATATTTTTTGTATACTACACTAATATTCACGTTGTCGATAAATGTAATGTATTCAATAATAAAGAGTTTCAATCACTACTATAAACACTTTTGTTGCTTTTGTTTTATATTGTAATTTAATAATTGTTTACATACAATAAGATAACTATATTATATATATATATGTATGATAATTTTATGACTCACCACTCAATAACTCATAGTGTTAAATAAGAATTGTTCTTTTTCATATTGTTTTTATACAATGATCTTAATTATTCACAATTTTTTTTTTTACCCCCTCCCATCTTCAGTTGATAGCAACTTTCGAAACTTAAATAGTAATGCATTAATTTTATTACCTTTTAAAATTGAGAATAATGTACTGTACAATTAACTGGTTGATAACCAGATTTAAACTTCTGTTTTTAAGTTAAAAGAGTTTAAAGGTTAGGATGGGAGTTTAAGTTTTATTACAATGGCCTTCCTCTAATTTTATATTATTAAAGATACCAAGCAATTTTTTTCGAACTTAGTAAATCCGTGCGTTTTCTACTTTATACCATATTCTTTTTATTTGTATCTCTTAATTTATAATAAAAAAATAAAATAAAATACGTTATATTAAATACATAAAAAATTACTTACATGTTAACGGTAATACCAGGTAATAGATGCTTAACGTTTTATGGTTATAGTTCTTCATAATCTAATATATTTATTACTCCCCAGATATTTGTGTTTGATATGTTTATTTTGTTAATGATTTATGGACGATTAGGGATCATTTTCCATGTTTTTTTGCTGCCGTTGCTTATGTATTTATTGAGTTTAATACGCTCAATAGGGCAGCGAGTGTACATTATAGAAATTTAAAACCAAACATAAGAACAACATGGCATTTTATACAATTATCACAATAGAAATCATTATTGTTTAGCATATTATAAATGCAGATGAACATTCTATTTATGGGGCTATTTAGAAAGTTATTTTGCCTAACGATTGAAACGTGATACAATTCGTTTTATCTGGTATTCACCTGGGGGGCTATAACCCAGTATTAGACAGTAACTTCGAAAAGTTAATCATACCGTGTAAATAAGCTATAAAAGAACAGTACATAAAAAAATGCTCGCCTGGACTTTGAAGAAGTCAAGTAGCAGTGCTTCACTTATTGGCCGACGGAACATATTTAATTTCAAGTCCACCATTCGCAAGAAACGTCTTTGGACTTTTTCTAGTTTATCAATCAAGCCATATTGTTAAACACACCATAGCACCAACCGATAGATCATGCTGTTTTTTATTAGTAATCGATCCTATCTTGAGTTCGGCGGGTAATATAAGACGAACACAATGATAACAAGGTTCGTCTTAAACCAATTTATTTGGTAAAACACTATGATCTATATACACTATGAGTCAATCGCTTTCCTAATGTCTGTGTAGCCTACTTCCACTTGACATCCGTTTGAGACGGAGTCCACTAAATAGGAGAAATTAACAATCAGTTGTCAGATAAACATCTGTAGAATTGGACTTGCTGAAACCATGTTGTTAAAAATATATTTTAATCTACTCGATAACTTCGTTTCTATTGATTTTGGAAGCGCTCTAATTTTAGTAATTGGCCTATAGTTTATTAATTAAAAGTGTCAATGAAATAAAATTTTCACCGACTGGACGCTTTATCGATTGATAACGAACCATTAAACCTACGTGTTGCGGCAATCGAATCTAGTTTAAAATCATTGGATCAAAACGAGGTTGGAAATAATAATTTTAATGAAGTATTGATAAAAACACAATTTTGGTTGGTGATAACAACCTTCCTAAATTTAAATGGCTCCCTAGCTTTAATGGATATTTTCCTGATTTATTAAATTTAATCAATAATGATTCGGATTTGCTGTCTATGGTGTCAATGGTAATAAAAAGTTCTTTTAGTAAAAATTAAGGAGTAAGTAAAAATGTATGCATTGATTTGAGCACAAGTGTCGAATTCCTATGTTAAATCCTATTTAAACTTCAACCGGTGTGGGGTAAGGGTCAAAAGTAATATTTAAAGGTTTTTTTTTATCTTATTTTTATTGTATCCAAAAACTTTATAGGAGGTATCGAGGTTAAAATTCGAAAATCGACTTTCGAAAGACCCCCTTAACATATACTATATATAACATATACTAATATGTATATATTCAAATAAAATAGTAATTTGCTTAGAAATTCTGTATTCTGTTTGATGACTTAGTGAATCATTGTAGAAATATGTTTACATTTATAAGTTTTATGTCTAGAACTAAACATAATCTAAATATACATGTAAGATTACTCTATTATTGTGAATTTTCGTGAAAAAAAGAAACCAATGCGTTGCTCTGTAACAAGAGATTATAATTTTATTTTCTGTGTTTAACGTCATATTTACAATATTTATAAACTTACCTGTAACAAGAGAAACGACAAATTAAGTTTCTTTGTTACACCTTTAATTACACTTAATATGTTAAACAATATCTTACACTTTCTATATTAAACAATATTTTACACTTTTTATTTAAAAAATCTATATCAATTGATTCCATATCAATGACTAAGCAAAATATAATATACACAGTATTATCAACCTATGTTGCTCACATCACTGTACAATAAAGAAAGTATTTTGTTTTACATAGTGATATGATTTTTTTTAGAAAAAAAGAACAACAATTACAGATTACTCCCACAACGGGTGACTTCATACAACTTTAATGGAAAAAATATATATATACGTTGTCATGTAAAATTTGTTTTTTATTTATTCTAACTGAAAAATAATTTTCAGGGATAGTGTATACTGTGGAAACTTGAAAAAAAACAACATGTATAGAGCTATAAAACTATGTAAAGTAGTATATCGACCTATTTGAACAAAAAATAAATTTTTTTTTGCAGTGAAATATGTTCGTGTTACAAATAAGAACGATTTCAGCGACAACAACAGCAGAAAACACAAACCTATATTTTCGTCTTAATAGCAAACGAATAGATGTTCAGTTCAAAGCTACGCGTCGATAAAAATCTGTTTATGCTTCTTATAAACTAAAACTTAAATTTTTTGATTTTTTAAAAAAATTCTAAATACGTAAAAATAGAAATTATTATGATACCTATATCACGCCATCGTCAATTAAACTACTTTGTATTCATCTTTTTTTCAATAAATTGCCAAAAAATAATCAATTATTTTCATTGCCGTTCTTGATATGCACCTTTTATAATTGGTCAAAATATGAGTTATTTGAGATTAATGTATATTTTTTAATAATTTTCATTTCGACACCATAGTACTGATGCAATGGTTGCAGCAATTATTATTATACTTACTAGAATTATAACATACAGTGCAAACGCCTATTTGCGATATTGACATTGATACATCAAGTGTTTTTTGTATAACGAAGACTGCAATATGTTAACACAATTCTTGGCGTGGCAAAATATACCGTAGGTATTATACATAGTATAGTTTATACAACACATATTCAAACGGTTAACGTCGTGTACATTATCCACTCATAATCAGTTTTAGAGAATATTACTGAACTCAAGTCCGAATTGCGTACGAAATCCGGTTTGAGAACCCGTAAGCGTAAAAGATAATATGTTAGATGCATCATCGAATGAGATATCATTGAATTTCAATTACAACAAAAACAATTATGTATTTTAAGAGTGCTGTTATTCTCTGCGCGTTGTATTTCTTCACACCAGTATGGGTAAGATGTTTATTTCTCTGCAATAATATTTCCTAAAATAAATACAGTTATACACTTGTACAAGGTGACTCAAATAACATAGTCTCATCACTAAACCTTTGAAGATTTTAAAAGGTAAGGTATATGTTTTATTAACATTTGGATTTAACGAAAATTGGCTAAAAAAGTTGACTGACCGATAACCAGCTTTGAATAATTACTCATTGTGTTTAAAACTTAAGACGGTAAGATGAGTTAGTTTTGTCTGCACGAGTTACTTAACCAGAACTAAACATTCCTATTTTAACAAGTTAATTAAATATATACGGTCCCACATAAGAAAAGTTGTAAATACACCTTAAATGGATCCTAAATGGATCATCCGGTACTCAGTGTTAAACTATAAGTCGTTATACTTTATTTTAGAGCACTGGACTAAATAAAAAACAAATAGAAACGTGCACTTTATTACAAAATCTAAATAATCAAGACTATGTTATGGATATGCCATACGTTATGAAGCACGTTTTTGGCATTGACAACCATAGACAATTTTTTATAGACAACCCAGGTAAGATGATATTATTTAAATAGTTATTTTTATTTATCACGCCTATAGACAATAAACGTAGTGTTATTGCTTCAACATGTTTATGCTTGATTAATTATTTACCAATAGCTCAACACAAAATATTCATTATTTTTTTATTTTTAACAAATTACTTAATCAAGTTCTTATAACCAACATTAAACTAAATTGTAATGTAATTTTTCTTATATTATTTAAACCATCAACTTGGTTGAAATAAAATTTAGAAGGTAGTGGATACCTTTTAAAATTGTAATTTAGTTGGGTTGCGTATTAAGTAACTACATAATCTGTCTAAATATTGACATAAGCATACATCGTTTAATTGAATGTAATATACACATCTAAAACTTGCCAAGATTTGTTGAAAACTATTATATTTGTTATTAAAAACTAATTGCATACTATTGAACTTATATAGATAAGGCCCATTATAAAAATAACAGCAAGTTATTTTTGGCGTTAGCGTATCATGGAACATTTGAAAGCTTCGAGGTATTCGATCTAAAATAACTAGATAGACAATAAAACATATCAATTATTAATAAGTATCAATATATGGTAAAAATATTATTGTGAAATCACAAATGTTTAATATTGTACTTAGGATAAAATTCTAACGCCTTTTGAAGCAGAGTTTTACCTCAGAATGTTTATGAAACACATCGAACAAGTAAAACAAGATGGATACCTTACTCGTGATCAACTAGCAGGTGTACTTGAAAGCTTATATAATATTAAAGGAGACGAGAAGTCTAGGATCATAGAATCATGTAAGCACTTCTTTGCTAAAGATGATGATATTAAATTTAGGTCGATGTACCGGTTTACTTCAAGTTAAAGATCATAATTTATTTAATTTTAGGTAGCGATAAAATTTACGCAGCAGAATTCTTGTCGATCATGTTAGAAAATCTACCGGAAGTAAGTAAATATTTGTTCAACAAAAAAAAAAGTATCTATGGATATCAAAAGAAATCCGATGGACGAACGTAAAAATCATTGTACCCGGTTAGGACTTTTAAAATCAGGATTTTCAACAAAAAAAACACAAGATCCTACTATTTGTCATTTTTGATAATAAGCCAAATTCTTTTTTCTGGCTAAAAATATGAAAGCGAAAATTTTGTTTCAAAAGCAAAAGTTAAAGAATCATTACAAAATATTAGTTATTAATTTGTAAAAAATTATACAAAAGCTTATGCAAATACGGTGACATTTTTGTAAAGCCGATTTATATTTATCATTTTCTCTTACATTATAGGGCAATGGTCTAAACAAAGCACAAATAGAAGAGTTCATTGGATTGTATAGATTTCATCAAAATGAATACGGTTGCATTCAGCCTTCGCAAATTTATAATATCTTTCAAGAATTTAATATGGCTAATGAGCCGCTTAAAGGATTTTTTTATCCTAACCGTAAGAATAAAACATAAATAAATTCACGTTCGATAAATTTTGATTTCTTCTGTACTATATAATTAAAACTTGTACAGGTCCCGCTGCTAAAGTGTTGATGGAATTAATGATCGTTACGGCAGAACGTTCTAAGAAAGTTAATAATGATGTAAGATAATTCATTTCTTATCAATTAATAATGCCTTTGCCGCCATGCATCAGTGCCCTATTATTTAATTTTTAATTACACTGTACATACTTATACATTGACAATTCTTCAGGAAATAGTGTTAAGTACAAAAGAGGTGAGATCATTGATATCTGAATTTACAATACTTGACACGGACAAAGACGGTATACTCTCCAATAACGAAGCGGAAAATTTCTTGAAAGGATTTCTCTCTAAAAATCTGGAAGTTCCAACGACATTTCATTTTAATGGTAATTTTTCTAATTATACATTAACGAGTAAACGATGACTGTTGGCCATCACCTAAAAACTTTTTTTTTGTTTTTCAGTTACAAAAATAAACGTGGCGGAATATTTATTGTGCTATATATATAAAAAAGTTTTCATTTTGAATTTTTATAAGCAATTGTTCTCTTACTGAGGAATTTAATATATCTTTTATTATGTTTTTAAACTTTGTCATTGTTATTGAAATGTTCGTTTCTAATAAAAAACATATTATGTATAATAGAACTGATCTAAATAAAATTTATTAATGTATTAATAATTGTACTAAACTATCAAATATAGTATAGTGGCCAGATTTTGAAATAAGTAATCGATTATAATATTTAAACTGTACACTAACAATTGATGGTAAAATAACACCCGTGTTTACCACTTGGAGTGCTAGTACATAATTCTTACTTCTCATCAAACGATATTTAAAAGAACATATTATTTAAAAGGAGCATAAGTCAACACTGTCGCTCATTGTGTAACCATCTTCACATTAATAGTTAAAGGAATACAGGCAATAGTGGTATACCGGTGATAACCACTAAATGGCAAACCAAGTTTAATATGGAGATATTTTGAAGACTATATTATAACTTTTATCATTTCCGTATAATATGAACAACAGCATAGTTTTAAAATACATACTAAATGCAATGATTTGTCACTTTTTCCAACTTTTGAGAAAAAGTATAGTTAGTACAATTAGGTATAAGTAAAATAAGTACAATTCGAATTTGAAAACGATACTAAAAGTTTTGTTATTTCTACAAATTTATTGTTTTTATTTATAAAACCAGTAATTTACAACTGAGCCATATCATTTTTAATCATCATTAACAACTATTTATTCTTACTTATCAGCATTTTGTATTTTTTTAACATTAGCTTAAAATTAAGTACCTAGATAGGTAATTTTGAAAAAATGTTTGCGGCTAAAATATAAAACTACTATCTGCTATTTAGAATTACTGTGAGTACTAATTCGTTCCTAAATCGGTCGGTTTATGAGCTACATAAATTTGATGGTATGTTAGAATCCTGGGAAAAGATAGGATGTTAAAAAAAACAAATATATTTAAATATTATTAAAACGTTCTTCATGATTAAACTTAACGTCAATATGGTCTCGCGATGACATTTACAACAAAGTTATGTTAAATAAAAAACACAAGACCGAATCGAAGCTACTCACTGTACTTTATTTAAGGCCAGCTCTCTGTCCATAAATTTTATTTAAAAAAATCTCCATGTCCACCTCTAGTGGCAGATTAGTTGAATTATCTTGTATAGGGTAGTAATAGTAAATCATCTGAAAAGTTATTTAATTATTTCTTACTGTGTCTTAAAGATCGACACATTTTTTAATTAAATATTATGGAACTTTTATAAATTATCTTTTTTAGATTTCCTTTCAATGTGTATTGATTACTGGCTTGGTCTGTTGTAACATTATACATTATTTATTCTCAAATGTCCTGTTTAAAATGTGACAATATTTTCATCTGAACAAACGACACAAAATATTGTGTTAATAGTTCAAAATTAATAAAGAATACTAAGAAATATTTTTTTTATGCTACGATTTGTAAAATTATAATAGGTAAGTGCAGTACAATTTCAACTTGGTATATCTTGAGTGAGACAGTATAAATAAATATTATTAAGAATACGCATCAAGCGTTAACATCGAAACACATAATAATTAATATTTTATACACTAAGAAGTATGTCGCAATATAGATATGTTGTTTTTCTTTATAATAAAAATACTTAGTAAACAGAAAAATGTTATTAAAAAAGACAAGATTGTTTTTGTAAACACCGTGCAGTTGTGTGCGGTGGTTTTGTGGACACCTCGGGGTTTTGGCTTACATAGGGTTTGTTTTTGTAAGAGCTCATGGTCATTCTATCTGTGACGATTTTCGGTATAACGTGTGTGTATTATTGTTACACTGTTTTATTATATTCTATTTAATATTATCTATAATTGTAATTGCTATAATGTGTGTTTGACAATAGTAGTGTGTTTAATCATTTAATGTATTTGTGGTGTGTTATTTATTCAAATACTATATCCACTAGCGTTCACTCAATATTATATGCTAAAAATATTAGTGTATAATATTTTATCAAAAATGCACCGTATTTTCTATAAACCTCAAAAAGTAAATTGCAAAGAAAAAACGTTTCACGGAGTGTGAATCATAATTGAAAATTCACCGTGTGCAAACTTAATAAAAAAAAAACTTTCATTCCCCCCCCCCTCCTCCTCCTGGGGTCAACAAATAGCAACCACATAAGGTTTATTACATTTTTTAACTCACAAAGTATATCACGAGTCAATATATAAAACTATAAAAGACACGCCAAATGTACAACATACTTTACTGTCGATTCGTTATTTTGACTACAGCGCCAATAGTTGTTCTATTCCACACGTACCTCATTGAATTTCAATTACAATTATGCATTTTAGGAGTGTCGTTATTCTCTACGCGTTGTACTTATTTACACCAGTATGGGTAAGATATTTAATTCTCTTCAATAATATTTCCTAAAATAAAAACAGTTATACACTTATACAAGGTGACTCAAATAATATAGCCCTATCACTTATGAGTTAAAACCTTATGACCTTTTGAAGCTTTTTAAAGGTAAAGTATATATTTGATATGTTTTCAATGTAACGAAAATTGGCTAAAAGTTTAACTGACCGATAAACAGCTTTGAATAATTACTCATTATGTTTAAAACCTAGGACGGTAAGAAGTGTGGAGTGAAGTGTTAGTTTTATCTGCGTGAGTTACTCAACCAGAGCTAAATATTCTTATTTTATATAGTTAATTACATATACATATATATGATGTTCCTACATAAGTTAAAAGAGTTGTAAACACACGTATTTTTCAAAGAGTAAAACTATAAAATTGTAATCATTTTCCCAGAAAATAAGTGTATCACGTTAACTAGATCCCCTGGTTCAACGTTTTAAACTATAATGCATTATACTTTATTTTAGAGTACTGGATTAAACAGGGTGCAAATAGAAGAATGTATTAAATTATACCATAAAATCATGACTCAAGACTACATTATTGATATGCCAAACATTATGTTGCACTTTTTTGGCATTGACAATCATAGAAGTGTTTTTATATACAACACAAGTAATATTTATTATTATTATTTTATTCATTACATCTATAGACAATTAACACAACAATAAATAATCAAAAACACACATGCTTTGACATATTTATGCTTGGTTAATTAATTACCATTAAATCAATACAAAATATTCATTATTTTTCTATTTTCAACAATTTAATTAACCGATCAAGTGTAATGTCATTTTCCTTATACTATTTATTTGGTTGAAATTAAATTATGAAATAAAATGTAGAAGGTAGATGTTACCTTTTAAAATTATAATTAAGTTGGGTCATACATCGTTTAATTTAATGTAATAAGTACATATAAAACTTGCCGTGATTTGTTGAAAACTATTACATTAAATAGGTATGTTATTAAAAACTAATTGCATACTATTTAACTATTATAGAGAAGCCCAAATATGAAAATGCTATCAATTTATTTTTGGCGTTAGCGTATCATGGAACATTTGAAAGCTTCGAGGTATTCGATCTAAAATAACTAGATAGACAATAAAACATATCAATTATTAATAAGTATCAATATATGGTAAAAATATTATTGTGAAATCACAAATGTTTAATATTGTACTTAGGATAAAATTCTAACGCCTTTTGAAGCAGAGTTTTACCTCAGAATGTTTATGAAACACATCGAACAAGTAAAACAAGATGGATACCTTACTCGTGATCAACTAGCAGGTGTACTTGAAAGCTTATATAATATTAAAGGAGACGAGAAGTCTAGGATCATAGAATCATGTAAGCACTTTTTTTGCTAAAAATTATGATATTAAATTTAGGTCGATGTACCGGTTTACTTCAAGTTAAGATCATAATTTATTTAATTCTAGGTAGCGATAAAATTTACGCAGCAGAATTCTTATGTATCATATTTGAAAATGTACCGGAAGTAAGTAATAATTTGTGCAACAAAAAATAATATATCTATGGATATCAAAAGAAATCCGATGGACGAACGTAAAAATTATTGTATAATAGGAGTACCCGGTTAGGACTTTTAAAATCAGGATTTTCAACAAAAAAAACACAAGATCCTACTATTTGTCATTTTTGATAATAAGCCAAATTCTTTTGTCTGGCTAAAAATATGAAAGCGAAAATTTTGTTTCAAAAGCAAAAGTTAAAGAATCATTACAAAATATTAGTTATTAATTTGTAAAAAATTATACAAAAGCTTATGCAAATACGGTGACATTTTTGTAAAGCCGATTTATATTTATCATTTTCTCTTACATTATAGGGCAATGGTCTAAACAAAGCACAAATAGAAGAGTTCATTGGATTGTATAGATTTCATCAAAATGAATACGGTTGCATTCAGCATTCGAAAATTTTTAACATCTTTCAAGAATTTAATATGGCTAATGAGCCGCTTAAAGGATTTTTTTATCCTAACCGTAAGAATAAAACATAAATAAATTCACGTACTATAAATTCTGATTCCTTCTATACTATATAATTAAAACTTGTGCAGGACCCGCTGCTAAAGTGTTGATGGAATTAATGATCGTTACGGCAGAACGTTCTAAGAGAGTTAATAATGATGTAAGATAATTCATTTTTTATCAATTAATAATGCCTTTGCTGCCATGCATCAGTGCCCTATTATTTAATTTTTCATTACGCTGTACATACTTATACATTGACAATTCTTCAGGAAATAGTGTTAAGTACAAAAGAGGTGAGATCATTGATATCTGAATTTACAATACTTGACACGGACAAAGACGGTATACTCTCCAATAACGAAGCGGAAAATTTCTTGAAAGAATTTCTCTCTAAAAATCTGGAAGTTCCAACGACATTTCATTTTAATGGTAATTTTCCTAATTATACATTAACGAGTAAACGATGTCTGTTGGCCATCACCTAAACATTTTTTTTTTTGTATTTCAGTTACAAAAATAAACGTGGCGGAATATTTATTGTGCTATATATATAAAAAAAGTTTTATCTTGAACTTGTATAAACAATTGTTTTCTAACTGAGGAATTTAATAAATCTTTTATTATATTTTTAAAATTTGCTATTGTTATTGCAATATTTGTTTCTAATAATAAAACATATGTATAATATGATTGAATTAATTAAAATAAAATAGAATAATAATTGTAATAAACTTTCAAGTATAATGGAGTGGCCCGGTGTTGGTGTTTTGATAAGAGTGTGTACAGAAAGCATTTTATATCATTGTAGGAATGTTGGACAGGTTAGATAGACGATAGTTTGTAACACAAAATTGTCTCACATGCCAAAAATCTTAGAATTTTTTTGTCTTTTTGAATATTTTCAAGTATCTTTCTTTTTTTTGTTTTTGTGAGTGAAATATGTTTTTTGTCCTACTCATATATTATATTTTGTTTATATACAATATATCCGTCATTAGGGTTGGGATGGGAATGAGATGAGTTTATAATATTATTAATTACATTTTTTATGAATTACCTGATTTTTTTTTACATGATGTGAGTACTTATTTTGTTTATATAAGATGGTTAATAGTTGTTTACGTTCAATGATAAAACAGTAGCTATGTTCATTATATTCTAATCTAACAGATTCTTCTTAGTTAATTAAATACAATGATACTCATTAAGAATGATAACTACATAATAATAACATATGTATAGATATAAAACACTCTTTAAAATGAGCTCAGTTTATCGTTGTTTATTAACTGGAAAACTTTGATTTTTCAATATTCTCTATCGATAACTGTCGAACATTTACTTTAAAAGTTTACTATTGTAGGCAATTTGTTTAATATGATATGTGTGTTTAAACTGGTAAACCATCATTTAATGTTATAAGAAGAATATCCGAAAAAGAGGCTAATAAAAAACTAGAAGCTAATATTTTGTCGTTAAATGATAAAGCTAAGCTTCTTGAAAGTAAACAACAAAGCTCACATGATTTAGTTCTAGATGCCATGAATGAGACTCGAGAGAGGATATTCAAGGAAAAAAATTATGTATGTCATAATGTATATAATAATAACTTTCGTAATGCAAATAATAATCCAATCAATAGTAAGAATTATAATAATAACAATGTTAATTTTAAGTTAACCGGCTATTACTAAAATGTAAAAGGGCTAAGAACTAAATTAAATTTGCTCCGTTGTAACATTCACGGTTTCAACTTTGACTATTTAGCGCTTACTGAGACTTGCTTACATGACGACATTGCCGACAACGAACTGGTTTTTATCGATTATAATGTATACCGTGTTGATCGAAACCAGAATACTAGTTCCAAGTGTAGAGGAGGTGGAGTAGCTATTTGAGTTGCTATTTATCTCGAGTAGTAGTGATGGGTTAAAATATGAAAGTATGCACTCGGAACAACTAGATTATTTATTAAACAACTTTTCTTTTTTTGGTTTCTTTCAACAGAATGCTTACCGTAATAAGTTTGGCTCACAACTAGATTTGGTTTTTGCTAATGAGATCAACACAAGTGTTCAGTTAGGAGATTTGTACTTAGTACCTTCGGATGATTATCACCCTGTGTTAAACATAGTCAGCCCAGTTAGCAGTTGTAGTCAAACAAATAGTAATATACCCATTGAACGCTTTAATTTTTTAAAGGCCGATTACGGCTCAATTGTTAGGTCACTAAACCTTATAAATTGGGATAACTTATTTTCAAAAAAATGTATTAATACAGCATTAAATGATTTTTATTCAGTTCTTAATACTGTTATACACAACAATGTTCCGCTTTATCATGTTAGTAAGCATAATTTTCCTATCTGGTTTAACAAGGAATTACGCAGTCTAACAGGTGAGAAAAACAAAGCACATAGGCTATTTAAAATAACTAAAAGCGCTGTTGATTATCTAACGTTTTCAAACTTAAAAGCTCGTTGACAAAAAATTGTTACAAAAAATACTTAGATCAAACACAGAAGTAATTAAAAACTAATCCACGGGAATTCTGGAGATTTAGTAAATACCGTAAAAATGATAATAAATTGCCCAATATAATGAATCTAGAAAATCATCAGGCTGATAACTCAGAATCGATTGCTCATTTATTTAAAAAAAAGGTTTTTCAGCCGAGTCAGCAACCACGAAAGAGCATTTTCATGTCTTGTTGAAGTACCGAATAAATTTAGAGTAGTGGTGAAATAGATAATAGATAATGATATAGTATATTAAGAAGCAGTAACAAGCTAGTATATTAAAAAATCAATTTTCTGGCTAATATTTTAGTGTTTAATAACTGGCTTAAAATAATTCATAGAGAATTTGGGCCCTTAAACTATTTTGAATTTATCATTTAGTTCTAATTTGAACGTTGAACGTACAACATATCTCTTATCAGATAATAGAGCAACGCGTTTTTGGTAATACTTTTACCAAAAAACCCCAAATTCTCTAGTAATTGTTTTAAGCCAGATATTAAACACTACAATATTAGCCAGAAACTTGATATGTATTATATACTAGCCACCTTAGATACTAGAAGTAGTAGTGCTGAGTAACTTTGTCTTTCTTCAATTATACTTTTTTGTAACCTTTCGACTTGTGTGACTCGTTAACCTAACCTGTTTTTCCGGAAATTTATTCGGTACTTCAACGAGACATTAAAATGTTCTATCGTGGTTGCAGACTCAGCTGAAAAATGTTTTTTTTTCGTTTATGTGCCAGAGCAAAGACATGAAAATGTCAAAATCATCAAATTGATACCATATATAAGGACATTAGAAAAGCTCAGACATTTGACACGGTTGACCACAGTACATTGATCAGTAAATTAGGCTTAGTTGCTAAAATGGGTATCATCTTATTTGGTTGGTCGATCTCAAATAGTTAACGTATCTAATACTCTATCAAGTCCTATTTTAGTTACCTCTGGCGTGTCTCAAGGCCATTTATCTCCAATCTTGTTTTTACTCTTCATAAATGATTTAGGTCTGGTTTTTCAACACTGCAAATTTTTATTATTTGTAGATGATCTCAAATCGTTTATGAAAATCAAATCACTTGATGATTGCCGGAAGTTACAATAAGATGTTAACAGGTTTATAGTGTGATGTGAGAATGGCTTATCAGTCAACGAAGGCAAATACAAGCAAATATCTTTCTATCGAGACCATTGTCCGATAATGAATAACTATACAGTCAATGAAATAAATCTCGCGGTACTAAGTAATGTTAAGGACTTGGGTGTCCCTTTATCTACCGACTTATCTTTTAACACACATATTAACTCAATGTGTGCTAAATCTTATCGAAATCTTGGATTTATTAAATGCAGTTGTTGTTAATTTAGGGATTTAGGCTGTCTAACAGTGCTTTATTCAGCCTTAATACGCTAGGGTCTAGAATTTAGGTCTGTAGCATGGAACACCAATCAGGCTGGTCTTATCAACAAAATTGAAAAAATCCAAAGGAAATTTATACGTTTTGTGGCACTGTTATTTTTTGTAGAGCATCAGTTAGAAAATTATATTACAATTAGTCCTATATGTCGAATGTTAAATGTATGTAATAAATTGTCCGATTTTGATTTATTTTTTTTGATAATATCAGTAAATTAAGTGCCTTAAATGTATGTGATAATATGTTAAAATATGTACTGTGTATATTATAAATAAGTATTACATCTGTACTCATTGCCCTCTGCGAGGCGTTACTCTTATAAAAAAAAATTTGAAAATAAATAAATTAAAATGCAAATTAAAATTTTAATAAAATAACATGTTATATTTCAATTTTAATTAATCATGACATTACCTGTTTATTATTAATCATTTTGTGAAATATACAATTTTAAATGAAAAAAAACTAACCTTCAAATAATTTAAAATACCCAAAACAATATAAATAAATGTTAACATATTAAAAAAAAAG